CAACGATCTCGCTGGCGTCTCCTTCCTCGAAGACCCGCCTTGACGTCTTCTGCATTTTCCTCAAATACCGTTTTGTTGCAGTCAACAGCTCGCGTACTGTTGCCATATCGATCCCTAAAGGCTCCGCAGTGGCCCCCAACAGCAGAAACAGACGCCGTAGCTGTGCGAAGGTCAAGGAGTTCCACTGGGGTTCTACACATTGCAGTAACGCTTCCTGTAGCTCTCGGGCAGCAGCCCCAGCGCACGTGTCCTCGAACAAACCCGCCTCCTTCATGGCGAGCAGCACGGTTGCACCGTCACCAAAGTGAACTCTGAAATCTACTTCCCCCGTCTCTGTTGCCAAAGCCCTTTCAAGAGAAGGTCCCCCCTCCCCCATGAGCAGCGGGCTGGCGCCTCTTCGAGCTGCAGCTCGGAAGGCTGTGCTAAGCCTCCTGGCAACTGCTGCTGCGAGGGGTCCCGTCAGCTCGCCGGCTCTAGAAAAGGCAACCACAACCAACGCCGCCGTGGACAATGACAGTTTCCCCTCCTTCAGATTGCTCATCACTTCTTCTCGCTGCGACGCCCAGAAGGAGCTCCCACAAGTTTGGTGCCGTTGTGCTGCCTGCACGCACCAGTTGCAACAGAAACACCCGGGGTTCGGCCGCGATTCAACACACGGCACAAACATCTATAAGAGACGTGAAGAAAGCTTTGGTTCCTTACTTCCAACACGCGTTGAACCACCGACGGCTCGTCCTGGCACTTGTCATCTCCCCCCTGTCGGTCCGAACTGCTCTGTTCCCGGGGGTCTTCTTGCTTCTGCTCACACACTTCATCGTCCTCTCGCCGGGAATTGCCGCGACGGAGTGTACGGCCAGCAAAGTTTCTGCGCTGTTGCTGCAGCTGTAGCTGAAGTGGAAGGCCCCCCACGCTGTTTAAGCCACCTCCTGCTGACGGCGAGTGCGTAGTTAGCCGGTGAAGGGGGGCAGACAATATCACAGAAGATGAGCCGAGGCTCCTTTTTAATGGACTAAATACTGGTGAGGCCATCTCTACACCCCTTGCAGCGGCCACTATCCACAGGCGGCGGCGAGCCGCAACGCCCGCTGCTGCTATGGATGCTCGCAGTGCCCCCCATTGAAATTCCTGAACATGAGTCATAAAGCAACGATGGAGAATTCAAGAGAAAAGATTTGGATGTGGTGGTAGGTGCGGGGAGCCGCAAGAATGTCGTAGCTGTGGAGTCGATTGTCAGCAGGCTTACAACGCCTCCAGCGACGGTATTAAGGAGCAAACCTGCGCTATTTTCAGGTAATTTTGAGAATGTTCTGCATGATAAAACATGTTATTGTATATTAAAATGCAAAGAATAAATGTGATGGCGCTCTGAGATAAGGGGGGTTGAGCAACAACCCCAAGTGAGGTGTCGCGCGAGACCGCCGCGGACGTCTGCCCGGTTTGTCTGCCTCTCCTTTTGGTTGGTGTTGCAGGAGATGGACTGGAATGCCCCCCTCTGATCGTTTCACTGTATAATATTTCAGTGAAGGGAACAGAAAATATCGCGATCAACGACAAGCAACAGCCGTCGAGTGTGCCCCTCTCCTGTAGGCGTTACAGCGTGCCGGCACTGCAGTTGACGAGGATTGCGTGATGATTAAACCTTTAAACGAATCAAAAAGAATGAAATTAGAATTGTTTGTGACCCGGATGAAGGGAGCAGGAGATGTGAGCTAGCGCTTTGCAAGACGGTCTGTTGGAAGTTGATATCTGCATTCCTAGTTGCTCGCAGAACGGCTACTGACGTGCGAGGAGGTGCTTGAAAAATGTATACTGGTGTGAAGAATACATCAAAGGGGAGTTTAGGTAGTTTGATTGAGCGGTTGCCTTGCAGCACAAGTTGCAGCAATGTGTGCTGTAACTCCTAACAGAACCAGCTTTTGCCTTCTCTCCACACCATCACCAGCATACCTTAGAGAGAAGCTTAAAGCTACTTATTATTAACATGTATTATGTGCTCAAAGATGCTCATTACGGCTTACTCTTACCTGCTTCGAATGTGCTACATCTCATGAAAGTCCTCGGGTAAGATCGAGGATTTTCGTCGCACGATCCTCCTGCATTTGTATGCAAAACGTTAGTAGACTAAACACCCAGCAACGCCTCTGTTAACAGGTAAGCAGTAAAGGAATAATGGATCAATAGTGCGCACATTTAGAGCAGTTGACAGGAAGAGGCAAAAACTAACAGCAACCGATGGATGTATTTCTGCTTTTGCAGTTCAATCCGAAGCTCTGCACATTCACCATGGCAAAGAGTGCTAAGATCAGCTTTTTAAGAAAGCAAGGTTCTGATGTTTGCATAAGCTTGTGGCCTGCTGCTGATACAAGCATCAGCCTGTAGAAGGCATCCCTGCTCGTCTATCTTTCGGCGAAATCCAGCAGGGATCCTATGATCAGATAAATTGTACTGTAATATCTCACCATGAAAATAAGCTGTTCAGTTCGTTTGGCATGGCCCGCGTGAGATAGGGGGGACTGTCACAAGAACCTCAGAGAAAGGGCTGCTGCATGAATATCAAGACTATATATATATATATATATATATATATATATATATATATATATATATATATATATATATATATATANTATATATATATATATATATATATATGTATATATATTAAGATTCCATGGTGCGATTCCTTAACCACCGGAGACTGAGTCTTCTGTGAAATTTAAGCATGAAACATCGAATGAAAGGAGGAAAAAGCTTACACAACAAAGCAGTCGACGATTTTCGCCTAACACTTGTTGACAGAAAGGCTTTTGAGTGCACTGTGCCGTACAAATCGGTTGCTTCACCCTGAAGTGGCCTACCATCGATTTATAAGAACCTGAGTTACTTAAATACAAACCTTACTCCCTCCTATTTAGAAACCATATTCCCTCCTAGCAACACTTCAGCTGCTGCACTGCCTCAACATGACTATAATACCTCCCCTTCCTACGATCTGTATCTCTATAATTAGTCATTCAGTCAAGACCTACAAACCGAACAACATAGTTTTCTTCACATTAGGAAGAGTTTCGTGGTTGCATCAACAGAAGGATTGAGTCAACACCGACGATAATCGTTTCTCTACCACTAGTAACGGAAAGTGTTGCAAACGGAAAGGGGCTTCCAACATTTCTTTACGACGAGAAATAACACGGAAGGGACCATGAGCAGCAAATACAGGGGTCAGTCAATGCGGGCGGAGATCGCGGAAATTGAGGATACAGCAATAAGCGGGGTATATTGCGTATTTATATGATAGGCTGCAATACCAGCGATGTACTGGAGTCAACGATACCCGCATTCCACCCCTTCAGTGAACGGTCAAGAGGGGCGAAAGTGCTTGCTAAGAGATGAAATAGGTATGCAGGAGAACTCGAGCGGAAGAGGAAAAACAACAAGAGCTCCATGCGAGGTCCCTAAGGAGGGAGTTAATTCAACTAAGGTTTCTGCAAAAACAATTACCTAAGCACTAGCGTGA